AGGGTACCTCCGGTGAACATGAGCATAGTTTATATCACTCCATCAGTTTGAGCCGTGGCCAAACACATCATGTGTTCATAGAATCAGATGATCCAGGTGCTGTTCTAACATGGGATTTTGATGTAATGCGACATAATGTTGTATTTACAGTACTCCACAAATCACGAAATGACGAAAATGGTGATATAGCAGGTAAAATACTAGAAACACAAATTATAATGAAATCACATATATTACATATAAATAATATTTTTGAACGACTTAAAATAGAGATATAATATACACATTACAATGCTAAGAGAACGTTGATTGTTTTGTAGAAATCCCAGAGCTTGCAATAGGTGGTGATCATGAGGTCATTGCTGCAAAAGAATTAAAAGATAATTATGTTAAAGTCGAGCCTAGTATAGTTTGTCATGATGGTGAAAGCATTCAAGTATGTATTCTTTTACATAATTTATGTATTGATATTTGATATGAGAAAGTATATCGATGGATTCATATATGCAATCACTGATGAAAATATTTGGGCAAAAATATAGAAAAAAAAAATATATATATATATATTTTTGATATAGTTTTAATTTTATTATACTAATTTAATTGTAGTAATTTAAATTATATTTGTGTTTTGTATGTTAAAGTACAAACACACAGATATATTTGTTGTAGAGTAAAATTTCACATTTTTATCTTCCTGTGATTTATCTAAATATTTCCGTGAGTGATTCTATATAATGTATGTAGACATGCTAGTACAATTATATAATTATTGCCATTTTTATGGAATTATTAATCCTTGTATAGGGAACACATATCATGCAAGATGCAGGCACCTACATATTACAATGGCAAAATCAAGAAGACCAAGCCGAATTTCTCCCATCTATCAGTTCTCACAAAGCTCAACTTATGTATTTTTATGAGACATTGCCATCTGCACATTACAGGTGCATACAATATTTGAAATAAAATAAAATGAAAATCTTACATAAGATGCACATATAATACATATTTTTCGCTTATCAGAATAAAATAACATTTTCTGTATTGACATTTTCATTGGTTTCTTTTAGGGGTTCAATGATGAGTTTGCAATCTGCTATGAGTGGAAGATCAGAGGCTAGTTCATCATTATCCAGATGAAAAGCGATGGAGGTGAACGTTGAATTGCAAGAGACATGAAGACATTTCATTTTTAATGTTTTAGTGTTATATGTTATAAAAACATGAATCTTTAATTTGTGTTAAAGGAAACTACAATGCAATTCAGATTTTAATTAATCTGATATTTTAATCTTTTTTTGACGCGGTTGCCTCTATATACACATCACCAATCCAATTCTCAAGCCTAAAATACTCACGTTGACAATTACAAAGCCAATGATACATTATAGTTGTTAAACAATAATATAATATATAATAATGTTATTTACTTAAACTTTATTTTCATATAAAGATGAAATATAGAGGAAATTTAGTACTCAAAATAAAAACTTGTACATTTTATATAGATGATATTGCAATATAAAGAATAAGGATACCGTTGCAAGAGCACATTATAATTTCCAGCTCTAAAGTGGACGGTAATACAAATTGTGCAATTGAATTGTGATTTAATATTAATTTATAAAAACACATATATTTACACATAAAGAACACGGGTAACGAAAAATGTTCTTCCCTTATAAGATTACATTTTACTCAAATTATTGTTAAGGAAAGTTGCATAAAAAAGCTAATATTTATAGTAATATACTATATTAAACAACATTCCATTGCTCTGAATGATGGAACATGTATTTAAATTATTTTTTATGTATTTCCACAAATCTTTTAATGTAGTGTGCAAGGAGATTAATAAGTTGTAGGATCACAATATAAATTATTGTTTCTAGTATGTTAATTTATTATTAATATGTTTAGATCAAATTAAATATATTACCTGCGTTTTCTAGCTATCTAAAAATTAATGAAAACATAATACATTATACGTTTTTAGTAATTTATTATGTACCAATAAATGTTAAAATTAATGAAAATGCTTTCAATACAATGGAACGAATTATCAGAAATTAAACAGAGAGAAAATTAATTTTGAGTGATTATAGTATAATATATTAATACAGAATACAATTCATATATCCACTGAAAAAATTGTAAATAAGTTTCGGCAACAAGATAATATTTTAAAATATTATTATTAATTTTTAGATATTCTACAAAAATTCATTAACTTTATACATAATATTTGTATAAATTATTTAATGACAAAATACTGTTAATATAATTAAAGTGTAATAATTAGGTAAGCTTAATTAATTCTCTCTCTCTCTACAATGCAGGACAAAAAAAAATAGAGAAGAATAAATATTATATAATAAAATAGTCACACAATTAGGATGAGAATAATATAAAAAATAGAAAAAGTGTGTTGAAAGAATATACTCATACTTTCGATATAAAACATTCTGAAAATACACAGAGAAAGCTTTATAAGAAATTATCTTTAATCATCAAGATATAATTTGTAAGATTACAAGCTCTATTTATTAATTAACTAACTATATCACAATGAATAGAAATATTATTCCCATGTATTCTTAACAAATTCCATCTTGATGATGACTAATTGTAATTAGTAATAGTCCAGTTAAAGAAACAATGTATTTTTCAAATGAAGATTTTTAGGATGAACACAAAAAACAAATGTGTTTTTGCTAGAATAGTATATGGTGTAATAATATGATCAGTCAGTTATATTTGTTAAATAGTTGATTAAAAATGTCATGTTTATCAGTTATTCATCTTAACAGCATCTACAAAAATTTTTAGAATGTAGTTGTGTAACTAGTATGTATGAAGAATGTATGTAGTATATTATTACAGCAAAGAAATATAGAATATGTATAAAATTATCATTTGTGTGTATATGAATATTAAGAAGATTTTCATAAAATTTATTACTATCATTATCATTTGTATTGAATATTAAGAAAATACTTATAAAATTTATTACTATCTGATAATGCACTATGTATCTTCTTTATAACTAGAAATTATGATATTTACTTTTGAATTGAAAACAAAACGACATAATATGCTGCTGATTTGAAGTATTGTGTATCAAGTATTGCGACCTAGCTAGTAGTTGTTATTTCTGTTGTCATCATACGTTAATATTGGAAGCAATAAAATTCAAACGGATTGATTAAATTATTATTATCGAATATAAAAAAATCTGTTTCCAAGTTTTGACATTTACAAATAGTAATTATACATTTTGGGTAATCTTTTCAAATTAGATTAGGATAAATAAAATAACAAAAAGAGTGGTTTTAACAATTTCTTTGGCTTTTCATAACATTGTATTCTACAATTCATACATATATATTCAAGTGTATACATACACTTTGCAACTGTACATTTTACACATCCATTGTACACATAATATATATATGAAACGTTTCGAGAGACATTTTACTAGACTAGGATATATATACGTAATAATAATGTTCCCAAAGCTATGTGTCTTTACATACATCATGCAGGAACTCTCGATTTTTCATCATATTTTTTAAAATCCATCTTAAAAAAAGAGATAAGATATAAAATTATTTTTATCTTTTCATATTGTATCAAAAATTACAAAATACATAAAAATTCGTCCTTTGGATAAAAACAAAGAGACGAAGTACAAAAGATGCTTGCTATTTCTATTTACATATAGTATCGCATTATTTCGCAGCATGACTATTTGCTAAACAATGTTAAAAATGCAATTATAATCTCCTTTTATTTTCATAGAAAATTAGGAAAAATTATATGAATATATTATTTCTATCACTCCTCATGAAACATCTTAATATATCTCATAATAATTGAGACTGTATTAAGTAGATAAAAAAGACATGCGAAAAATACAAAACTTCATAAGTAAATTTAGTTTCTAATTGGTAAAGATTATTGATATTCAATAATACGATGTTAAATCTGTAAATGTGTTAGGCAGATAGCTTGGAATGTTTCACTCCACATTAATTTTAGATATTAAGAGGAGTAGATTAATTTATCACACAATAATGTTTTACAATAATATGGATAAAAAATATAATAAAATAACTAATAATATAGATCTGAATTGTTGTAAAATTTTTCTAAGAAATATCATACTCTTTATAAAGAGAGAATAACTCATAGTATGAATATTTGGAAGGTTTCAAAATTTTCTCTTAAATATCTTTTTCTCACACACAAATATCAATTCTCTTTGCTCTGCAGTTGAACTTAAAGAATATATAGTTACAAAAGTGGATATTATGTACCTATTATGCATATCTTTGACTATGAAACTGTAAAGTGGTCATATTTAGATTTATTGACTAAAGAAAGGATACATAAATTTATTTTTAAAATACATAAAATATAACAATAGACATAAATCCTTAATAGTGCCCTCTTTTATAAGAAAAAAGTCAGCAATTCATGTTTCTATAGTCAAAGATATATATAATTTAATGCAATTTTATTATACTTTGGCATTTCTCTTTTTATACTTTTTTATAAAGATACAGTTGATTTTTTCTTTTCTAGTATTCCTCTGATCTAATTTTTTCTCTATTCTAACTCAACTATTTTCTTCTAAAATAGAACTCTATTCTTGCGCCGTTTTTCTCGAAACGTTTGTCATATTGGAATGAAAGACAAAGCGCACAACATTTTTACTGTATATATTATTAGAATAAGAATGGAGATTAAAAAGAAATATTGGATTAGAGGAAATACTCGATCTCGATAATTCTAAGTCAGAAGAAATTGATTGATATAGTTTTAATTTTATTATACTAATTTAATTGTAGTAATTTAAATTATATTTGTGTTTTGTATGTTAAAGTACAAACACACAGATATATTTGTTGTAGAGTAAAATTTCACATTTTTATCTTCCTGTGATTTATCTAAATATTTCCGTGAGTGATTCTATATAATGTATGTAGACATGCTAGTACAATTATATAATTATTGCCATTTTTATGGAATTATTAATCCTTGTATAGGGAACACATATCATGCAAGATGCAGGCACCTACATATTACAATGGCAAAATCAAGAAGACCAAGCCGAATTTCTCCCATCTATCAGTTCTCACAAAGCTCAACTTATGTATTTTTATGAGACATTGCCATCTGCACATTACAGGTGCATACAATATTTGAAATAAAATAAAATGAAAATCTTACATAAGATGCACATATAATACATATTTTTCGCTTATCAGAATAAAATAACATTTTCTGTATTGACATTTTCATTGGTTTCTTTTAGGGGTTCAATGATGAGTTTGCAATCTGCTATGAGTGGGAGATCAGAGGCTAGTTCATCATTATCCAGATGAAAAGCGATGGAGGTGAACGTTGAATTGCAAGAGACATGAAGACATTTCATTTTTAATGTTTTAGTGTTATATGTTATAAAAACATGAATCTTTAATTTGTGTTAAAGGAAACTACAATGCAATTCAGATTTTAATTAATCTGATATTTTAATCTTTTTTTGACGCGGTTGCCTCTATATACACATCACCAATCCAATTCTCAAGCCTAAAATACTCACGTTGACAATTACAAAGCCAATGATACATTATAGTTGTTAAACAATAATATAATATATAATAATGTTATTTACTTAAACTTTATTTTCATATAAAGATGAAATATAGAGGAAATTTAGTACTCAAAATAAAAACTTGTACATTTTATATAGATGATATTGCAATATAAAGAATAAGGATACCGTTGCAAGAGCACATTATAATTTCCAGCTCTAAAGTGGACGGTAATACAAATTGTGCAATTGAATTGTGATTTAATATTAATTTATAAAAACACATATATTTACACATAAAGAACACGGGTAACGAAAAATGTTCTTCCCTTATAAGATTACATTTTACTCAAATTATTGTTAAGGAAAGTTGCATAAAAAAGCTAATATTTATAGTAATATACTATATTAAACAACATTCCATTGCTCTGAATGATGGAACATGTATTTAAATTATTTTTTATGTATTTCCACAAATCTTTTAATGTAGTGTGCAAGGAGATTAATAAGTTGTAGGATCACAATATAAATTATTGTTTCTAGTATGTTAATTTATTATTAATATGTTTAGATCAAATTAAATATATTACCTGCGTTTTCTAGCTATCTAAAAATTAATGAAAACATAATACATTATACGTTTTTAGTAATTTATTATGTACCAATAAATGTTAAAATTAATGAAAATGCTTTCAATACAATGGAACGAATTATCAGAAATTAAACAGAGAGAAAATTAATTTTGAGTGATTATAGTATAATATATTAATACAGAATACAATTCATATATCCACTGAAAAAATTGTAAATAAGTTTCGGCAACAAGATAATATTTTAAAATATTATTATTAATTTTTAGATATTCTACAAAAATTCATTAACTTTATACATAATATTTGTATAAATTATTTAATGACAAAATACTGTTAATATAATTAAAGTGTAATAATTAGGTAAGCTTAATTAATTCTCTCTCTCTCTACAATGCAGGACAAAAAAAAATAGAGAAGAATAAATATTATATAATAAAATAGTCACACAATTAGGATGAGAATAATATAAAAAATAGAAAAAGTGTGTTGAAAGAATATACTCATACTTTCGATATAAAACATTCTGAAAATACACAGAGAAAGCTTTATAAGAAATTATCTTTAATCATCAAGATATAATTTGTAAGATTACAAGCTCTATTTATTAATTAACTAACTATATCACAATGAATAGAAATATTATTCCCATGTATTCTTAACAAATTCCATCTTGATGATGACTAATTGTAATTAGTAATAGTCCAGTTAAAGAAACAATGTATTTTTCAAATGAAGATTTTTAGGATGAACACAAAAAACAAATGTGTTTTTGCTAGAATAGTATATGGTGTAATAATATGATCAGTCAGTTATATTTGTTAAATAGTTGATTAAAAATGTCATGTTTATCAGTTATTCATCTTAACAGCATCTACAAAAATTTTTAGAATGTAGTTGTGTAACTAGTATGTATGAAGAATGTATGTAGTATATTATTACAGCAAAGAAATATAGAATATGTATAAAATTATCATTTGTGTGTATATGAATATTAAGAAGATTTTCATAAAATTTATTACTATCATTATCATTTGTATTGAATATTAAGAAAATACTTATAAAATTTATTACTATCTGATAATGCACTATGTATCTTCTTTATAACTAGAAATTATGATATTTACTTTTGAATTGAAAACAAAACGACATAATATGCTGCTGATTTGAAGTATTGTGTATCAAGTATTGCGACCTAGCTAGTAGTTGTTATTTCTGTTGTCATCATACGTTAATATTGGAAGCAATAAAATTCAAACGGATTGATTAAATTATTATTATCGAATATAAAAAAATCTGTTTCCAAGTTTTGACATTTACAAATAGTAATTATACATTTTGGGTAATCTTTTCAAATTAGATTAGGATAAATAAAATAACAAAAAGAGTGGTTTTAACAATTTCTTTGGCTTTTCATAACATTGTATTCTACAATTCATACATATATATTCAAGTGTATACATACACTTTGCAACTGTACATTTTACACATCCATTGTAGACATAATATATATATGAAACGTTTCGAGAGACATTTTACTAGACTAGGATATATATACGTAATAATAATGTTCCCAAAGCTATGTGTCTTTACATACATCATGCAGGAACTCTCGATTTTTCATCATATTTTTTAAAATCCATCTTAAAAAAAGAGATAAGATATAAAATTATTTTTATCTTTTCATATTGTATCAAAAATTACAAAATACATAAAAATTCGTCCTTTGGATAAAAACAAAGAGACGAAGTACAAAAGATGCTTGCTATTTCTATTTACATATAGTATCGCATTATTTCGCAGCATGACTATTTGCTAAACAATGTTAAAAATGCAATTATAATCTCCTTTTATTTTCATAGAAAATTAGGAAAAATTATATGAATATATTATTTCTATCACTCCTCATGAAACATCTTAATATATCTCATAATAATTGAGACTGTATTAAGTAGATAAAAAAGACATGCGAAAAATACAAAACTTCATAAGTAAATTTAGTTTCTAATTGGTAAAGATTATTGATATTCAATAATACGATGTTAAATCTGTAAATGTGTTAGGCAGATAGCTTGGAATGTTTCACTCCACATTAATTTTAGATATTAAGAGGAGTAGATTAATTTATCACACAATAATGTTTTACAATAATATGGATAAAAAATATAATAAAATAACTAATAATATAGATCTGAATTGTTGTAAAATTTTTCTAAGAAATATCATACTCTTTATAAAGAGAGAATAACTCATAGTATGAATATTTGGAAGGTTTCAAAATTTTCTCTTAAATATCTTTTTCTCACACACAAATATCAATTCTCTTTGCTCTGCAGTTGAACTTAAAGAATATATAGTTACAAAAGTGGATATTATGTACCTATTATGCATATCTTTGACTATGAAACTGTAAAGTGGTCATATTTAGATTTATTGACTAAAGAAAGGATACATAAATTTATTTTTAAAATACATAAAATATAACAATAGACATAAATCCTTAATAGTGCCCTCTTTTATAAGAAAAAAGTCAGCAATTCATGTTTCTATAGTCAAAGATATATATAATTTAATGCAATTTTATTATACTTTGGCATTTCTCTTTTTATACTTTTTTATAAAGATACAGTTGATTTTTTCTTTTCTAGTATTCCTCTGATCTAATTTTTTCTCTATTCTAACTCAACTATTTTCTTCTAAAATAGAACTCTATTCTTGCGCCGTTTTTCTCGAAACGTTTGTCATATTGGAATGAAAGACAAAGCGCACAACATTTTTACTGTATATATTATTAGAATAAGAATGGAGATTAAAAAGAAATATTGGATTAGAGGAAATACTCGATCTCGATAATTCTAAGTCAGAAGAAATTGACTGTGTTAACAATATTAACTAACAATATCAGATTAGTATGACTTCTTGTCTCAGTTTTAAAATAAACAGACAAACTTTAACTTCCTTAGCTACATGATTTAACGATATCTTCATATTGATGTAATGGATCAAGATTTTCCTAATATCTACTATAATATTTGGCAGAAAAAATAGATTGGATAGGCAAACACCTCCGTAAGGTATATTAAGAAATAAATATTGATCGATAAAATTTCTTTTGGCATATCTTTAAGTACTGGTGACACCTTTACGAGCTACTAAAAGATTTAACACTGGATGCTTTCTTATATAAGAAACTGCTTTCTTATGAGTTACCATTGTAAAGTCATACCCATTGCATTGTAAAATTTTATCATGCATTCTAAGACCACTTTTTGCAGCTGGTGATCCTTCGTGTACTTCTGTTACATATATACCCTGAAAAGAAAAATTGATGTCATCTTACATTAAAATTAAAAATAATAAAATAATAAAAAACATATCTAAGCGATATATTTTCAATAATATAATATCTTACATTGTCCGTATAACCCTGTGGACTTTTTGTGAAATCTTGATCGATTCCACCACCAATTTTAAAACCACATTTCATTACTTCTTCGCCATTCTCATTAATTTCTGTCTCTTTGTGTAATGTGATTGGTATCTATAATTAAGTAATAAATATATACAATATAATATGATGCACAATAATATCAAAAGCATTAACTATTTGAAGAATGCTGCCTGTTAAACTGTTTTTAGGGGAAATAATACCCCCTTAGTAGCTCGGGTTCCCCGGGTTTGCTAAGCCCGTACTCACTATTGTGAGTCCCTGAGGTGTCCTTATAGCAAAGGATCTGTATACTGGCCGTGGATAATACAATTACATAACAAAATTAAAGAATAATACATACGCTTAGGCACTCCATTGCGGTACCCGGCTGATGTTGAAAGGCCATTTTCGCGCACATAATAAGAAACTTGGGTTCTGCTACGCGTTTTCCTCTTAACAAATCTTTCCGATGATTCACGTGCAATCGCTCACACCAATAATGCACGAATAATAACAAATTTATATTATATTGCGATACGAGTTTCGACTTGGACTTGCGAATATAATATTCGAACAGACGAAAAAATTCGGTTCTCGTGCGAACGATCTAATGCGAGTGTTGAAGTAACAAAACTTTTTATAAATTTTAGAGCGCGAACAGATGATAGCTAACTGGACTTTCTGAATGAGCTATGACGCTTGACAATCATGCGCGTTATCGAGAGGTAGACGTATGAAAGTATGAATCGCATTGAGATATACAGTTTGTTGAAGTGAGCCTATCCTATACGCCTATGTCCTATACTATACTATCTAACTATCCTATAGAAAATTGAGGGCATAGAATTAAAAAGAGACATGTATATTCTTAATTTGATCTCTGTCTCTTTTATGTTTTATTGCATGTTTTTCAAATAAAAGATATCTTGCAAAACTGGAAAAAACGTGATGCTTTCTTTTGATTATCTAATAAATGCAACAGTCTATTCTAAACTTAATATATATTTTTTTCGATTCGAACAATGTAAGTACTTTTAGGTTACAATATTATTAAATGTGTTAATTCCATATATTTTTTTTCTTTGATAACAATATTAGTAAAATAACAAAAAGTGATTTTTAAATACACATTTGCTCTCCGAAAATAACAATTGTTTACATAAGAAGAATAAAACTTATTTACATTATTAAAAATTTTTTTCTAATAGTAACAAATAAAATATAAATATAAGAAGAACAAAATATGAAAGAGGAAGAAATTGGACTTTAAAAAATTATTGCGTTCAAATAGGGACAGAAAGAAAGTAATTTGTAAAATATTGTCAGATTTTGTGAGTACATCGTTAAAAAAATGTTGAAGAATAATTTGTTAAAGACATCATGGTGTAAACTACGCGTCCAGTATACGCACAAAAATGCATCTATACCAAAGGAAGAACTTAAAGGGAAAGAACGTAATATTGCAAAGATACGAAACATTGGCATATTGGCGCACATTGATGCTGGTTAGTATTTCCACTATGCTGATTATAAACAAAATTTATTTGATTTGTTTGAACACACTAGTGTATTTCTTTTTTTTTCAGGGAAAACCACCACAACTGAAAGGATGTTATTCTACTCTGGTCTTATCAAAAATATGGGAGAAGTGCATCATGGCAATACAGTGACTGATTACATGGAGCAGGAGCGGCAGCGAGGGATAACCATCACCTCGGCTGCTGTTACATTCAATTGGAAAGATTATCGCTTTAATTTGATAGATACTCCTGGTCATATTGATTTTACTATGGAAGTTGAACAAACTTTGCAAATATTAGATGGAGCAATTGTAGTCTTGGATGGTTCTGCTGGTGTGGAAGCTCAGACATTAACAGTTTCCAGACAAGCAGACAGGTATAATATTCCTCGAATAATTTATATTAACAAAATGGATAGAGCTGATGCTGACTTTGACATGAGTTTACAGTCTATTGAATCCAAGTTAAACATAGAGACATTACCTATTCAAATTCCCATGAAGGAAGCAGGAGTCTTAGAAGGTATTGTAGATGTAATAACTATGGAAAAGTTGACATTTGATAAGAAACATCAAGGTATAAACCTAATAAAAACAAAAATAACTGAAAAAGATAATGGAAGATTGTGGGACATAGCCAGTGAGAAGCGACGAGTGTTGACTGATAAATTGTCAGGCTTGGATGACAAACTAGCTGATATTATTATAGAACAAGAGTCCCTGGAAAATGTGCAATCGCAAATATTGGTCGATTCGTTACGCAGAATCACCTTAAATAGAAAAGGTGTGCCTGTAATATTAGGCAGTTCCTATAAAAATGTAGGAGTACAGCCTTTAATGGACAGCGTCATTCTTTATCTGCCATCGCCAGCAATCGTAAAAGATTTAAATCCATATCGATACTTCGAGAATAATCTGGCAGCCAGAGTCTTTAAGATTGTTCACGACAAGCAGAGAGGTCCGATCACTTTTTTCAGAATCTATTCTGGCAATATGAGGAAAGGCCAGAAGCTATACAACATGACACGCGAGCAAAGCGAACAATGTACTCGCATGTACATCGCCTGCGCCGATGATTACGAGGAGGTAGCCGAAGTGAGTCTTGGCAATATCGCGGCTATAGGTGGATTAAAGGGCACCATCACAGGCGACCTGGTGACGACGAGCTTGTCCGTTGGCAACCGCGCTAAAGACATTATGCTGAAAGAGAATTTGAACCGACCGGACTACGTGAACAATTTCTTCGCATCCGGAACAAACTTGCTCGATCCCGTCTTTTTCTGTTCCATAGAACCGCCTTCTTTGTCCGCGCAATCTGCCTTAGAGACCGCACTTCAGGAATTACAGAGAGAGGATCCTAGTTTGCGCGTAACAAATGATCCGGAAACGGACCAAATCGTACTCGCAGGAATGGGAGAGTTGCATATAGAAATCATTAAAGAGAGAATCAAGAGAGAGTATAAGATTGACGTAGATTTAGGTCCTTTGCAAATTGCCTATAAGGAAACGATTCAGCACGCCGTTAAAGATACGATAGTTGTGGAACACAGGGTAGGCCAGACGAGTCACCAGGTTAATATTACTATGTCCTTGATACCTAATTACGAAGGAAAAGAAAAACTGCTTCTGGACAGATCTCCAGATAACGCATCGAATATCGACAGCATTCATCCGCGAGTACTAAATGCAATTAAAAGTGGCGTGAAATCTGCCTTGTTGCATGGCGTCAAGTTAAGTTGTCCAGTAATTAATGTTGGTGTCAAGTTGCACTGGCTAGAAGTGGCACGTGGTACTTCGGACACCATAGTTTCCGCTGCTGCTTCACAATGCATCCGAAAGGTCGGGATCTATACTTTAAATTATATATATAAATTCTATTAGTTAATATATTGCTTGACAATATCAAAATCCAATTTATACTCTATTATCTTTAGTAAATGATACAATATATTTAAGATTCTAAGAGAGTTCAGTTATGTGTAGTATATAAGAATTGAAATCGATAGAGACAAATATCAATAATATAGATATGGAAAAAGATAGATATTATCGTAAATTTATTATCACGAATAAACAGAGATCGATCATTCTTTTGACTATCTATATATCAAAATATTTTGAAGATATCTAAATAATATATATATTTTTACATATATAGTTGCTCCAAAATGGAAATAGTATGTTACTAGAGCCCATCATGCAATTGGAGATTGTTGCACCGGAGGAATATTCCCCAAGTATTAATGCTGATCTCGCTCGTAGAAGAGCGGAAATACAACAAATCGACATGCGAGGCAATAATAAGGCGAGTATAAATTCTCTGCTTCTTACTCCTAATAAAGTGTATAACTGTTTAAATTACGCACATATTAAGATATTTGTATTACATTTTATAGGTGATCAGAACTCTTGCGCCATTATCAGAATTATTGGGATATTCAACGGCATTGAGAATTATCACGTCGGGTAGCGCTACGTTTTCATTGGAATTTAGCCATTATCAGTTAATGACTGCCGCTGTCGAAGACAAAGCAATTTATAAACTTAAAGGATTTTAAAATATATAATTGCAAGTAATAATGTAAGAAAATATTACATATAGTTAAAATTGCTGTATATAATAATAATATTATATACACAGTACAATTTCACTTCGTTTTATTCAATCTAATCAAAATATATTGCAACATTATCATTGGTGCGTTACATCTCCATATACGATTCACAATAGCGACCACTAAGTATGATGGAAAGCTTTTAATCAAATTTCATTAATCAACCGGAGCAGAATAGTCACTCTGTAGCTATAATTAAAATTATTATATATTATATAATTATATTTAATTAATATATATAATGTTGCACTGGCTAGAAGTGGCACGTGGTACTTCGGACACCATAGTTTCCGCTGCTGCTTCACAATGCATCCGAAAGGTCGGGATCTATACTTTAAATTATATATATAAATTCTATTAGTTAATATATTGCTTGACAATATCAAAATCCAATTTATATTCTATTATCTTTAGTAAATGATACAATATATTTAAGATTCTAAGAGAGTTCAGTTATGTGTAGTATATAAGAATTGAAATCGATAGAGACAAATATCAATAATATAGATATGGAAAAAGATAGATATTATCGTAAATTTATTATCACGAATAAACAGAGATCGATCATTCTTTTGACTATCTATATATCAAAATATTTTGAAGATATCTAAATAATATATATATTTTTACATATATAGTTGCTCCAAAATGGAAATAGTATGTTACTAGAGCCCATCATGCAATTGGAGATTGTTGCACCGGAGGAATATTCCCCAAGTATTAATGCTGATCTCGCTCGTAGAAGAGCGGAAATACAACAAATCGACATGCGAGGCAATAATAAGGCGAGTATAAATTCTCTGCTTCTTACTCCTAATAAAGTGTATAACTGTTTAAATTACGCACATATTAAGATATTTGTATTACATTTTATAGGTGATCAGAACTCTTGCGCCATTATCAGAATTATTGGGATATTCAACGGCATTGAGAATTATCACGTCGGGTAGCGCTACGTTTTCATTGGAATTTAGCCATTATCAGTTAATGACTGCCGCTGTCGAAGACAAAGCAATTTATAAACTTAAAGGATTTTAAAATATATAATTGCAAGTAATAATGTAAGAAAATATTACATATAGTTAAAATTGCTGTATATAATAATAATATTATATACACAGTACAATTTCACTTCGTTTTATTCAATCTAATCAAAATATATTGCAACATTATCATTGGTGCGTTACATCTCCATATACGATTCACAATAGCGACCACTAAGTATGATGGAAAGCTTTTAATCAAATTTCATTAATCAACCGGAGCAGAATAGTCACTCTGTAGCTATAATTAAAATTATTATATATTATATAATTATATTTAATTAATATATATAATATATAATTAAATTAAATATTGTATAATTATTATTATCATGATTTCCATATATCACACTAGTAGTCGCGCATAATATATTAATATTGCTTAAGATCATGCAAAAATGTCATATATCGTAAAATATATGTATGTGTATATATTATATCATATGGAGGGATTAAATGTTATAATGTTGTGAGATTGACTGGAAAAAACGACAGTCGCGTATAAAAACTTATTCATGTCAACGCGGATAGCACAAAAGCGAGACAATAATCTTTCATTTTATACATACCAATGTACAAAATATCAGCTTATAAACGTTGGACAAAATATAGAAATTCTCGCATTTGTGTAATTTTATTCACTCTATAATATTAAATATATTTTTGAGAATTATGCGAATTGTGTTATTGATCAATGTTAAGCGCTCGATTCGAAGAGCTCTTACAATTCCTTAACGTATTTAGAAGTTTTGAGCTAAACTTGTTTTTTTCCTTACGATCTAAATTTCTATTCTCAGTATAATCATAGTATAAAATTTCATCTTTTGTTGAATTGCTTACAAAATGACAAATCTTTATATTATATTACGTATTTAGAGCTAAACTTGTTTTTTTCCTTACGATCTAAATTTCTATTCTCAGTATAATCATAGTATAAAATTTCATCTTTTGTTGAATTGTTGAATTAATGACAAATCTTTATATTATATTATA